TATATATATATATATTTACAATTGATGTACTACTTGATATTTATCACTTTCAAATAATTTCGTACCTTCCGCCTACTGCCTCTCAGTTGCAGATGCACGCATAAACCGACACGCACTATGCGCCGCACGCACATTACTATCTCACCGCTCTCGCCGACTCGGATCATTCAGCATCCATTCGGACTTTCGTGCTCTCTGACGACGGCGCGTCGTTGCCCTCGTGCACTCTATCTCTCTTTCTTTCTCTCCTTTCATCAATTCGACTGTCGCGAAACGATCACATCTCTCTCTCTCTCTCTCTCTCTCTCTCTCTCTCTCTCTCTCTCTCTCTCTCTCTCTTACTCCTTCAACATGAGGCAGAAAGCTCGCTGTAATCACGAGAAGCGCTTATGTAACCGGTAACTCGTGACTGCCAATCGACGTCTTTTTCCGCGCGTCGCACTTTGCTGCGTTGATTTTTCACGCTTTTAGAACGAACGTATGGAAATGCATTACCTCGCAATTGATAGACATAAACATCTTGAACGAAAAAAATCGCGTCGCGATCTACAGAGTATTTTAAAAGACAATGATCTTGATTGCCTTGGAATTTCCAAAATTTCGCGAATTTCAAAATTTTCCTGTTGACAAGTATCTTTTTGCTCAACAAGATACGTCTCAAGGTAAAGAAACCGGTACTAATTCTTAATACGTTATCAACTATAAGCCATCTCTTACGTCACAGTAGCATTACATGCCGTTCCATTGCCGTTTTGTATGTGAATATTGTTAACATCATTGATTCATCAATGTATACGATCTTTTTATAAAGATCTTTTATAAAGATCTCGCTATTCTTAATTTTTCAAAACAAAGTAGAATATTCAACATGCGAGAAAACGGCGATGAAATATGGAATAAAATAAAATAAAAAAAAATGATTTTGACAAGTTTTAATAGAAGAAAACTTTTTTATATAATTATTATTGTTTTTTTATATATTATTGTATAAGAAAACAGTAGTGAGAAATCAAGTAAAATAAGTAAAATAAAAATTTATTTAAGAAATTAAATTAAGAATTGATCTAATTAACTTTAAAAAAAATTTATACTTAAAAATTTAATTAAGACTCGATTAAGAATCTAATTTTAACACTTGTATGTTAAAAAATTATACAGTTCGCAGACAATGAAATGCAACGACCTCAATTTTTGCTCTTTAAATGTTCGATTTTTTTTTTCAAACGAAAAAACAAAAGAATAGATAGTTAATCTTTCAATGCCGCGTGTTTGATATAATAGATCTCGTAAGTTGTTTACGTAGGCACGATTACATTTGCATTTTTCTCCGATCACACGAAGCACAGTTACAGTTAACCCGGTCTTAACCCTGAAGATAACCCCGGATACACACACACACACA